CTAATTCTTCAAAGATAACCAGTGCTAACATGAATGTTTTCCAGATATTAGAAATCCATATATTCTATGTATTCAGGCATGTATTATTCCCTTTAGCAAAAATTGAATTATTATACATGCTGTCCACCAGGTGAGTTCCTACTTATTCTTCAAGATTCAACTCAAATGCGAATTAAAACCTTGCTCCTACATATTCCCACAGCTCCTTATACACGTGCTTGATATAGTATGCATCACAGTGTTAACACTCTTGTTTCGGTATGTCCTCTAGTGTCCATAAATATGCACCGCTCACAACTCCTCCTGTGGAGATATTACCTGACAACCTCTACTGCTGCTCTATGAATTCAACACTGCATCCACACCAGTTCCCACAAGCGGCTCCCGGTCAATGATGGAGTACAGGGATACTTACAGAGGCCCATTTCTTTGAGACACAGGACTCCTCTGATAGGTAACTATGGTAAGGACTCCTGTTTGGCCTTGCCTAAACTTTTTTAGAACTGCACTTCAGCCGGGCACGGTGGCTCATGCCTGTAATCTCAGCACTTTGGGAGGCCGAGGCAGGCGGATCAAGAGGTCAGGAGTTCGAGACCAGCCTGGCCAACATGGTGAAATCCCATCTCTAACAAAAATACAAAAAATTAGCCGGACTTGTTGGTGGGCGCCTGTAATCCCAGCTACTCGGGAGGCTGAGGCAGGAGAATCACTTGAACCCAGGAGGCGGAGGTTGCAGTGAGTTGAGATAGTGCTATAGCACTCTAGCTCGGGAGACAGTGCGAGACTCTGACTCAAAAAAATAAAAATAAAAATAAAAAAAGATAGAACGACACTTTAGTCTAAGACTTTTCCTACCCAATCTGCCCTACTTCCTGTTCTCATTCACAGGTTAGACCAGCATTATGCTCTGATAGCTCTCCCGGCTTCTTCTAGTTCCCTCCTCATTTTCCTTCACTGAATCTTTCTCCAGTAAAGATCTTACATGGCTAATCATGTCCTGGCATCTATTCAGAGGACCCAAACCAAGTTTCCCAAATTAAAATGAACATTTCAGGAAGGCAAGGGCTCTATTCTAATCATCTTCGTATTTTAGTATCTAGGCAGCCCAACATTTCAAAGAGTCTTCTTAACAGACTTGCTAAACAACTGTTTTCATTTCGTTGTGTATTTTTCACCAACTCACCTGGTCGGGAGCCTTTTGAGACTTCTTCCAGCAGCCATGGCAATTCAACCCACTTCAGCTGGGAAATCAACTCTAATTTTGAAACTGGAAAGTCTGCTCATAGAGAAAAGAACAGAAAATTGCTGTTTTGCATAGAATAAAGATATCCCAGCACTCATATATAGCCTCTGGTTCTCCAGGGAAGATAAAAAATGCTACCAAAATACACAGACATAAATACTGGAACTTGCGACAAAAATGGGAAAAGGTATTCCACTGATGAAATCAAAACGATGCTTCACATTTCCAATTCAATGAAGCAAAGACCTTTTCTAGAAGATACACTGCAGAAAAGCACATTTTCAGAACTGGCTTTTTGGATTAGTCCTATCAGTCCCTGGGTCCCCAGCCAAAACAAAGTACTTCACATAGCACTTACCTTTCAATAAAAAGGGACAAAAAGAGACCCAAGACTAAGCACTAGGTAATGAAGAAAAGGTGTCTTTACCCAGAAATTCTAGGTTCCTGAAGTTTTCCAGTAGCACTTCCTTATACAGCTCCTTTTGAAAAGGCTCCAGCTTCTTCCACTCTCCTCTTGAAAAGTTCACAGCTACATCCTTCAATGTTATAGATTCCTAGAACACCAAACAGCTCTTTTGTATTGGACTATTGCCAAATAGAACCTAAGTTTTGTTTTGTTTTTGAGACAGGCTATTATTTCTCTGTCACCCATGTTAGAGTGCAGTGGTGCTTCATGGTTCACTGCAGGCTCAACCTCCTGGGCTCAAGTGATCCTCCCAATAGTAGTGGGGACTGCAGGCATGTGCCACCACGCCTGAGTTATTTTTAAATTTTTTGTAGAGGCATTGTCTCACTATGCTGCCCAGGCTGGTCTCGAACTCTTGGGCTCAAGTAATCCTCTGTCCTCTACCTCCCAGAGCACTGGGATTGTAGGCCTGAGCCACTGTGCCCAGCCTGGATAGGATATAAAGAATGGTTTTGATAGCATGCAAGTTTTTAAGAATTCCAAAGTAAGCTACAGAGCGGCTATACATTCTCTGACTTTTATAAGTGATTCAGAACAAAGGTACTACACAATCCCTACCTCTTCCATTCAGTCTCTAGTGTTCAATACTGTACAAGAATTCTCTGGAATGTATAACATCGATCAAGTTCACCCTAACACATCGATTTCTAGGACTAAAATATTAAATGAAGGGCATGATTTACATTCCTGAACCCTAAATTTGCAGAATTAATGTAAGTTTACTACAGGTAATAATTGCATAATATCTGCAACTGCATTCCAAATTTTAACTTCCAATTATAAGCAGCAATTATTTTCTATCATATTCAGAGAATCTATGTTCAACAACATACTCACACTTGCAATTACTCCACAATTACAAACAAGAATACTGACTCACTAAAATACTCTTTCCTTCTTTTTTTTTGAGACGAAGTCTTGCTCTGTTGCCCAGGCTGGAGTGCAATGGCATGATCTCGGCTCACTGCAACCTCCGCCTCCCGGGTTCAAGTGATTCTCATGCCTCAGCCTCTCAAGCAGCTGGGATTGCAGGCATGCACCACCACATCCGGCTAATTTTTCAAATACACTTTCTATAGCATTCTCTGCATGCTTTTTGAGAGGCAGTAGAGCAGAATGGCTATTGGTCTGTGTATTACCTTCCTCTGGGAGCTGTAACAAATTACCATAACCTTGGTGACTCAAAATAGGAATTTGTTCTCTCACAGTTCTGGAGGCCAGAAGTCTGAGATCTAGGTGTTGGCAGGGCTGTGCTCCCTTCAGAGGCTCTGGGGGAGAATCTGTTCCTTGCCTCTTCCTGCTTCTGGTGGCTGCCACCGTTCCCTGTCTTGCAGCCCTATCACCCCAAACTCTGCCTAACTCTTCACATCACCTTCTCTTTGTGTTTTCAATCTCCTCCTGCCTCTCTAGCAAGGACACTTGGGATGGCATTTAGGGCCCACCTGTATCATCCAGAATAAATTCCTCATGTTGTTTTCTTTTTGTGAGACAGAGTCTCACTTTGCTACCCAGGCTGGAGCATGGTGGCGCAATCATAGCTCACTGCAGCCTCAACCTCCCAGGTTCAAGTGAAAGACTGTCTTTCCCTGCCACCTCAGATCCCGGGTAGCTGAGACCCCAGGTATGTTATTGTGCCCAGCTAATTTCTAAAATTTTTTATATAGACGAGGGTCTCGCTGTGTTGCCCAGGCTGGTCTCGAACTCCCAAGCTCAAGCAATCCTCCCACCTTGGCCTCCCAAAGCGATGTGATTACAGGCATGAGCCACTGTACCCGGTCAAAGATGTTCTTTATCATGTTAAGATTTAAGGACATGTACCTCTGCCTGGGCACAGTGGCTCATGTCTGTAATCACAATGCTGTGGGAGGCCAAGGGAGAGGACTGCTTGAAGTCAGGAGTTCAAGACCAGCCTGGGCAATACAGCAAGACCCCAACTCTACAAAAAATATTTTAAAATGAGCTGGGCAGAGTGATGTGCACCTGTTGTCCCAGCTACTCAAGAGGCTGAGGAGGGAGGATAGCTTGAGCCCAGGACTTCAAGGTTGCAGTGAGCTATGCTTGCACCACTGCACTCCACTCCAGCCTGGATGATAAAGCAAGACCCCATCTCCTTAAAAAAAAAAAAAAGAAGGCAGGCAAGCCAGGTGCGGTGGCTCACACCTGTAATCCCAGCACTTTGGGAGGCTGAAGTGGGTGGATCATGAGGTCAGGAGTTCGAGACCAGGCTGGCTAACATAGTGAAACCCTGTCTCTACTAAAAATACAAAAATTAGCTGGGAATGGTGGCACGTGCCTGTAGTCCCAGCTACCTGGGAGGCTGAGGCAGGAGAATCACCTGAACCTGGGCAGCAGAGGTTGCAGTGAGCCAAGATCCCGCTACTACACTCCAGCCTGGGCAACAGAGTGAAACTCTGTCTCAATTAAAAAAAAAAAAAAAGAAAAAGAAGGAAATGAACTTCTACTTCCACCTGACTAATTTTAACAGCGGTAACTGCTGAATTTTAGTAAATTTTTTTGTCTCATTAGAATCAGACTCATGGCATTCTGTGAACTGAAACAAAACTGCATGCGGAAAATGAGATCTCAGTTCCTTGAAAGGGAGACTATATTTATTTCATTTTATTTTGTTAGAGAGAGGGTCTTGCTCTGTTGCCCAGGATGGAAGGCAGCAGTGGCGTCATTACAGCTCACTGCAACCCTGAACTCTTGGGCTCAAGCGATTTTCCTGCCTCGGCCTCCCAAAGTACTGACTGGGATTACAGGTGTAAGCACCGTGCCTAGCCTTTGATTTTGTATCTTAATATCACTCAGTAGGAGCCCAGTTAAGTATTCACTTAGGAATAAAAACCATTGAAAGGAAACTTACACGGGACTCAGTATTGGGACAAACAGCGACCATTTTATCCTCTTTTGAGTTCTCCTCTTGGGAAACAGTAGAATCTTGAGAGACTGGATCTAGGAAAGGGGAGAAAACCAGTCCAGTCTTTCAAATAAATTCCTCAGACTAAAAATCTTTATATATATCTCTATATATTTCTAAGTGATACACAGGAAAAAAACTAAGTCAGTTTCTCCTACTATACTCACAACACAAAATAACTCTGAGACTTCAGATATGTGGGGGTGTTCCCCCCACACCCGGCAAGCAATTCTGTGTTGGATTCCCCAGCAGGCACCAGCTGGGTATCCTCTAATTCATTTCTAATACTATCTACCTGGAGACAGCATTAGCTCCCAAAGGTTAAGGCCTCAGTCTCACAAGACCGACCTCCACTTCAGATGCCAGTCTCATGTCTGAGCCTCCAGGGCTTTGACCAACAAGATACAAATTGGGGATCCCATGAGCCCCTCCCTGGGTTCCAATAACTTGCTAGAGTGGCTCACATAACACTTTACTTACGTTTACTTGTTTATTGTAAAGGGTATTACAAAGGATACAGATGAACAGCCAGAAGGATGACACTGCACAGGGCAAGATGCTTGGCACTTCCATGCCCTCTACACCGCTCTCCAGGAACTGCCACATGGTTAGCTATCTGGAAAACTCTCATGAGCTGTGTCTTTTTGGTTTTTACGGAAGCTTCATAGACAGGCATGACTGATTAAATCACTGGCCCTGTGATTAACTCAACCTTCAGTCCCTCTCCCCTCTGACAGGTTGGGGGGGTGGGGCTGAGTTCCAACCCTGTAAGCACAGGGGTTGGTTCCCCTGGCAACCAGCACCCTCCCCCAATTCCAGGGTTATCTAAGGACTTTCCAAAAATCATCTCATTAACATAAACTCAAGGGTGGTTAAAAGGGGCTTGTTACAAATAACAAAAAGATTGTCTTTCTCCTTTATAGCTCAGGAGCTGTTTCAGGAACCATGGACAAAAGGCCAAATATTTTAACAAAAGACACTCTTACTGCTCTAATCACCCAGGAAATTACAAGGGTTCTAAGAGCTCTGAGCCTCTCTGGATAAAAAAGTCAGAAGAAACAAAAAGTTGTCCACTCTTTAAAACAGAGAACAGCCATAGATAAAAGTTTCCTATGAAAACCTAGGCGTTTCCTCTTAGCTCATATAAAAATCCTTTCAAATCCTAAGCTCACGAAAACTGGTTTTCTTCTTTCTATATAGCCTCAGTTTAAAAATGTTTAATTTGAACAACAATGAATTTTGAAGTATCCTAATTTAAAAGACGTAGTAAGGTAAAACTGTGTATTCTTCATAGTGCTAGTACAAGGCCTTGCTCAAGAGTCACTCCAACCTGCTAACTGAATGAAAGCACCAGGTTAGTCTCAAGAGTTGACTCCACCAGATTCCTTATGACAGAAAAGAGGCGTCTAATAAACTCATAGGAACTAAATGTATCCAGTACCTTCAGATTGGCCCATTCTGGGCATACTACCAATGAGTGGGCCCTGCTCCACAAGGAGTAGTAAAAAATAAATACATAAAAACCCTCGGATGTCAACAGCTCTTTTTCAAATAAGAAAAAGTATTTTTTCAAATCATACTCTACCTTATGAAAATAATTTTAGGCAACTTTAGTGATTAGACAATCAATAAAAATTAAGAATTAGAATGACTTAAAGAGAAAAGTGGGGTGAATTTAAGAAAACTGTTATACCCTACAGAATCCTGGAAATCAATTTTTTTTTTTTGAGACGGAGTTGTGCTGTTGTTGCCCAGGCTGGGGTACAATGGCGCGATCTTGGCTCACTGCAACGTCCACCTCCTGGGTTCAAGCGATTCTCCTGCCTCAGTCTCCATAGTAGCTTGGATTACAGGTGTGCACCACCATGCTGGGCTGAGTTTGTATTTTTGTAGGGACGGGGTTTCTCCATGTTGGTACGGCTGGTCTCAAACTCCTGACCTCAGGTGATCCACCTACCTAGGCCTCCCAAAGTGCTGGGATTACAAGCGTGAGCCACCGTACCCAGCCCGAAACGAATTCTTTATTGCAGGGGCCTCCACAAAGAGGCCCTAATTTTGTAGAAGCATGACACTGCAGTGACAAATCACAGAGGAGTCAGGAAATCCAAATTTTAGATACACTAATTAGCTATGTGATGGCAAATTAAGCGTATGGAGGTAAATACTATTTATTTCCCTATCTCAGAACTCTTCCAGAATACAAACTGTCATACATATATATCAGAAGCCCTACGGTAAATACGCTACAAATATTCCAAATATATTTGGAATGCAAATATTCCAAATATTTGTAGCATATTACACTGTAAAATACAAATATTTGTATCATATTTGAGAATATGAATAGCTACAAATTTGAGAAAAAAGGCAAGCCACATTCCCTGAAAGGACTATTCACCCTAGAAGACTTTACATCAATATTTTATAATGATATCAATGTAATTCAGTTTATAGTTTATACATTTATATTTATAATATGTAATTACATACATAAAATTCAGGTTTTCCTGCCCTAAGGCTGTGGAACTGCACAGTAAAATAGTTACTAGTCGCATTTGGCTATTTAAACTTTAAATTTGATTTTAAAAATTCAGTTCCTTATTTGCACTAGCTGCTTTTCATGTACTTAACTTGAATTGCAAAACAGTGCAGAAACATTTCCATCAGCAAAGACACTGACAGCCCTGCTCCAGCAACATGCTAGTCCACACAGCGGAACTAGACATTAGGGCCTGAGCTGGTTGATTTGCCTGTGACTCCAAACACTTTCACAGATAACTTGTGTTCTTGAAGGGAATGGGAAAGAAATTACTATGTCTTGAGCATCCACCATATATTATATCTTATCTTGTCTTACCTTTACAAGAAAACTACAGGAAAGATGATATCCCTTTTTAACGGATAAAAATATTTACATTCTGAGAGTTTACACAGTTTGCCCAAAATCACACAGTAAATGGCAGGGCTGATTCAAACCCAGTCCCAACTTCAAACCTCAGACTCCTCTTTAGCAGTAAATTGCTTTCTTTTGAGGAATTTACTTTCGGACTTTGAGGCAATGTCTCCCGCTTCCTCCCTCCATCTATAAATCTCACCTCCTTTTTCTTCGAGCATCTGGGTCAAATCTTCTATTAGGGTCACCACCTCCTCACTACTCTCAGGATGTTGTGACTTTACCCAAATCCTGATCTCCCCAGGCAAAATGGTCAGGAACTGCTCAAATACCAAAAGCTCTAAAATCTGTTCTTTCGTGTGAATGTCTGGTCTCAGCCACTGAATGCAGAGCTCCCAGAGTTGACTCAGAGCTTTCCTGGGTCCAGCTACTTCTGAGTAACAAAACCACCTAAACCTCTGTCTGAAAGACTCTGCGTCAGCCGCATTTCCTCTTAAAATAGCTTCTTGCTCCCCAGAAGTAACCACTCTTGGGACCTCATTTTGTTCAGTCGAGGCCAGAGTTTGAGGGTCTGGTGAGATGGCTGTCATCTTGTTCAAGGGCACTACAGCTTGCATTGTGTCTCGGGGCAGGAATCCAGTCCCTTCACACTCTAGTTGAGTATCAGTGCAGTCCACCAACAGGTACTATATACAGCCAGGAATATCAAAGGTTCCAGGAATCCAGTTTACAGTCCTGCAGAAACTGTCAAGAAGAAGTATTAAGGCATTAAATAAGTAAAACAAACTGTTGTTAGTCCTAAAAACATTGTTCTTGGTTTGGTTCAGAGAAATATATCCACACACATACCTGCAAAGGCCTAGAAAAGCCCTGCTTAACTACTATATTAAAAAGATAATTTTCTTTCTTTTTTTTTTTTTTTTTTTGAGATGGAGTTTCGCTCTTGGTGCCCAGGCTGGAGTGAAGTGGTACAATCTCGGCTCACTGCAACCTCTGCCCCGGTCGGGTTCAAGCAATTCTCCTGCCTCAGCCTCCCAGGAAGCTGGGACTATAGGCACGTGCCACCATTCCCAGCTAATTTTTGTATTTTTAGTAGAGATGGGGTTTTGCCATGTTGGCCAGGCTAGTCTCGAACTCCTGACTTCAGGTGACCCACCCACCTTGGCCTCCCAAAGTGTCAGGATTACAGGCTTGAGCCACCGCACCCAGTCATAATTTTCTTTATAGTCAAAAGCAGAGGAGCGACTTAAGGGTTAAGGAAACAGTTGCTTTAGATTCAATACTCCTCCTAAACAAAATGTTATCAGAAAAGGTTCAAAAGGGGACCCAGTCGAAAAGCTATTTAACAACTCCTACCCTTTCTTAATGAAAGGGTACACATTTCTCACCAGTTGCTCAACTCAGAAGCCCAATTTAATATTTGACTTTCAAATTTCTCTTCCTCCTTACTTCTCCCATCATCGATAACCAAGGTCTGGTGATTTTATTTCCTAAGAACCTCTCCATTCTATCCTACTGAAACTGCCTAAGTACAGGGATCTTCAATCCAGTCTCACACTGTAGCCAAAAAATTCCTTCTAACAGGCAAAATATGATCTTATCACTCCCCAGCTTACAGTCCCTCACCAGCCCCCAAACGGTCTCTCAATAAAGTTCACATGCAGGGACCATGGCATTGTGATCTAGAGACACTGCCTGATGACCTCACCACTTGAGCTCTAAGCTACCCGATTGACACTACAGCCATAAATTAGTATCTCCCCATTCCCAGACACTTCCTCTCTACATACCCTCCTAGCGTTCGCACCAAGGCTATTCCCTCTCCTCGGAATGTTGCTTTCTTTCTCCTAACAAACTTTTATTCGTTCTTTAAAGCCTGACTCCTTTCAACTGTCACTTCTTGTGTGATGCTCTGCTTGATCCCAAAGCACTCCTTTGCACACAGACTACCCTGTGTTGCCTGCATTCATTCATTCTACAAGTGACTGAGCAACTACAATGAGCTGGAACAGGACCAGGGGTCATGAGCTGCGGGGCCAGGCGTGGACAGGCCTGAAAGGGTCCTCACGCTCACAGAGGGTCCAGGAAATGACAATGCAGCCGGAGCGGGACTACAATGCGACAAGTGAAGGATGTGACAGCTTCGCATTGCAACTACCATACCAATAACAACCCACTTCCGAGTACAGCGCCCGGCACACAGCACGCATGACGTCATTTATTCCTCTGCCAAATATTAGGCGCCCACCATGTACCTGGCGCCGTGCGGGGCACCTGGGGCTCCGCGGTGACTAAGACACTCGGCTCCGTCTACAGAGTTTACACTGGAGGCCCGGTGAAAATGTGACGCAGCCAGAGGATCTCAACCGGAGGGAGTTAAAAAGGAGAGATTTCACCCCCCAGGGGTCCTGTGGCAATGTCTGGACACATTTTTGGTTAGCTCGACTGGGAGGAAAGGTGGTACTTGTTATCTAACGGGCAGAACCAGTGACGCTGTTACACATCCTGCAATAACGGGACAGCCTCCCCCTCACAGCCACACCACACAAACAAAACAAGGCATTAGGCATTATCCCGCCCAAAATGTCAACAGTGCCCAAGTTGCGCAGGGAGGGATGGAGGGAAGCCAACAGCCCCATCCCGCAGCGGAGTGCGCACCTCCCACAGAAGCAGCAGCAGCGCACCGCACAGCCCGTTGGTAGGCTGCTCCCGGCCCCCACCCCGCCCCAGGTGCGCCCTCGGAGCCGGCGACCCGGCCACGGCCCCGAAACTCGGGACCAGGGACGACCAGTACCTGCACCAGCATCCGCAAACAGCACCAACGCCACCGCAATGAGCTTCCAGAAGCTTGTCCCGCAGCGAGTGCGCGCGCAAGCCCGTGGGGACCACTGCGCCTGCGCAGAGGCTCTGAACCGGACTCCCCGAACGCGCTCGTGCAGCTTTCCGAAAGTCCGCGCTTTCCATAGGCTCCCACCTGCCTGTTGCGCATGGTCACTGGGAAGCGGCTAGTGGGCTCGGCTGCAGAATTATTGCTGCGCCAGAGGCTCCGAGGCCTAGAATCATTTGAGGTTTGCAGATCCAGGAGGCTCCATGTCTTTAGTAACCTCAGACCTTCCCTACCCACTCCCATCACATCCATTCCCTGAAATCTAAGGTGGAAAAATCCACCGCAGAAGCATATTAGCGATGCATTTAATGCAAATCATAATTAATACCACAACTTGAGTTAAACACATATTAATCTTATGACTTCCACACCTGCCCCCATGGTCCAGTTCACCCTCATGGCTCACCTGGATTATTGCAATAGCTTCTTGATTACACCTTACTTCTCTTGGCTATTCTCCACACCACAGCCAGACAGACGTTTTAATAATGTCAAATTATGTCCCTCCTCTGCTTAAAACCCTGCGATGGTTTCCCATTTCACTCAGAGTGAAAACCCAGGTCTTTATAGTGGCCTACAAGGCCTGATGGAATCTAGCCACCTATAACCTCCCGCACCTCTTCCCTGACTTTCCTGCTCCAATCTTGATAGCCCCCTTCCTCTTCTAACCTGCCAGGTACTTCCGGCTGAACTTCTCCTTACCTAAGTGGCCATACGGCCCGCTCTCCCATCCCTTCGGGTCTTCTCAATGAAGCTCTCCCACCATTCCACTTAAATAGGAATCCCACCTCACTCTTGTTTCCTCGTCTAACATGCCCTATAGGTTGTTTGTTAAGTTTTTTGGTTTTTTTGTTTGTTTGTTTGTTTGTTTGTTTTTACTACTTGTCTGCCTTCTCCACTGGAATACTAATTTCACAAGAGTAAGTATTTTTATTTCATTTGTTCTAGGTTGTGTGTTTAGGTCCTGAAACAGTACTTGGCCCACGGCAGGCACTCAATAGATATTTGTTGAGCTTATGAATGAGTGCTTGCATGGATTATGGGGAGCATCGCAAAAAGGGCCAAAGAACTCCAGAAAAATTTTTTGGAGGGTTCTAATAACTGGATGATCCTGAAGGGGTGGAGTTGGGAGAGAAAGACTAGATTCATTCTAGACTGAAGGAGCAAGGTGATTCAAGACTCTGAGACTTTAAAAGGGCAGAGCAAGCTCAACTAAATGAACCACTGGGCTTATCGCAGGCAGCAAGTCAAGCTGAAGAAACAGGGCTGAGAATGGCCGGGCACGGTGGCTCATGCTTGTAATTCCAGCACTTTGGGAGGCTGAGGTAGGTGGATCATCTGAGGTTGGGAGTTTGAGACCAGCCTGACCCACATGGAGAAACCCCGTCTCTACTAAAAATACAAAAAATTAGACAGGTGTGGTGGTGCATGCCTGTAATCCCAGCTCCTTGGGAGGCTGAGGCAGGAGAATCACTTGAACCCGGGAGGTGGAGGTTGCGGTGAGCTGAGATCAGGCCATTGCACTTTAGCCTGGGCAACGAGAGTGAAACTCTGTCTTTAAAAAAAAAAAAAAGAAAAAGAAATGAAACAGGTCTAAGAGTGAAGACAAAAGTTTTCTCAGTCCCAAGTCCCACAGCATATTCTCCTTTACGCATCTCCCGTTGTCTGTCTTAAGACACATCAGGAAGAAGCTGGAGAAGGCAGAGGAATGGGAAATATCTATTGGCTCATTATTTTAACCAGGCAAGTCAGAGGCACTTTATTTAGTGGTTCTGACGCTTTACTGTACTTTAGAATCACATGGTGTTCTTTATTTGAATACAAATTGTGGGACCTTCTGGCCCTCCCCACCCATCAACTTGTTGCAGATCTTGTATTTTGAGAAACACGGTACTAGTTGAAATATTGTGTAAGTAAATGACATGCTACCTATGAATAAATTACCAGGAAAGAATGGAATCATTTTGGAACTGGTAGTCAAACTATAACTTTTGATTAAAAGTAACCATCATGGTAAGGAGTGAAGGAAGCAGGAAGGAAGCAGGAAACTACAAATCAGTTAGTTTCACTGGTAAACAATCTGGTGGGATCTCTAACTAGGAAAACATGCTTAGGAAAACTTTAAGTGAGCTGTTTGTTCGTTTAACTGTTCTGGCTTCAGTATGGAGAGTAGATTAGAAAGAAGTAACACCAGAGATAAAAAGACTTGTCTTACCACAATCTAGGTAGTATGATGGTGACATAAAATAAAATGGTTTAAAAGGTGTTGGAAGGGCCAGGCGTGGTGGCTCACGCCTGTAATCCCAGCACTTTGGGAGGCCGAAGTGGGCGGATCACGAGGTCAGGAGATCGAGACCATCCTGGCTAACATGGTGAAACCCCATCTCTACTAAAAACACACAAAAAATTAGCTGGGCATGGTAGCGGGCACCTGTAGTCCCAGCTGCTCGGGAGGCTGAGGCAAGAGAATGGTGTGAACCCGGGAGGCGGAGCTTGTAGTGAGCCGAGATTGCGCTACTGCACTCCAGCCTGGGCAACAGAGCAAGACTCTGTCTCAAAAAAAAAAAAAAGTGATGGAAGACAGACACAGGGCATAGTACTATCAAAAGACAGTAGTAGTAGGATTTGGTGATTTATTGCAAATATTCACGGGTGGGAACGAAGAAAACAATATGCTATATGGCATCTTACATTTTGTAAAAATGGCCACAGCAATATATGTCCCATCCCACAAGTTATTCTTACAAGGTAATGTTGATATACCTCCTTTTGAGAGGAGTTACCTATGCTTCCTCCCCTTGAAACTAGGTTGACCTTTGTAACTACCTAAGCCCATAGAATGCGGTGGAGATGATGCTGCCTAACTTCTAAACCTGCCTACATCCACAGAGCTAGCACCCAGATCAAGAAACACAACGTGACCAGCAACGCAGAAGCCCTGATCCCTCTGTACTTCCTTTCAGTCACCTTCCCAAGGGCGTCACTATTCTGACTTTTAACAGAGAAGAATAGTTTTACTTGTTTTCGTCGTAGAATCTAGAGTCTAGAAAGTAGAATCCGGCCAGGCACAGTGGCTCATGCCTGTAATCTCAGCACTTTGGGAGGCCAAGGTGGGCAGATCACCTGAGGACAGGAGTTTGAGACGAGCCTGGCCACATGCTGAAACCCCGTTTCTACTAAAAATACAAAACTTAGCCAGGCATGATGGCGCCTGCCTGTAATCCCAGCTACTCAGGAGGCTGAGGCAGGAGAATCGCTTGAACCCAGGGGGGCGGAGGTTGCAGTGAGCCAAGATTGTGCCATTGCACTCCAGCCTGGGCAACAGAGCAAGACTTCATCTCAAAAAAAAAAAAAAAGAAAGAAAGAAAGAAAGTAAAATCCTCTGGTACATATTGTTTGTATATGATGACTTCTTTCATTCAACATTATGTCTGTGAGATGTATCAATATTATTGCATGTGATTATACAGTGTTTATTTTCATTGCTGCATAGTGTTCTCCTATGACCTGTATTTTTGTGTGTATTTTTTGTTTCTGTTTTTTTTTTTTGTTTGTTTGTTTGTTTGTTTTTTGAGACAGAATGTCGCCTAGGCTGGAGTGCAGTGGTGTGATCTCATCTCAGCTCACTGCAACCTCCACTTCCTGAGTTCAAGCAATTCTCCTGCCTCAGCCTCCTGAGTAGCTGGGATTACAGGCGTCTGCCACCACACCTGGCTAATTTTTGTATTTTTAGCAGAGACGGGGTTGCCATGTTGGCCAGGCTGGTCTCAAACTCCTGACCTAAGGTGATCTGCCCACCTTGGCCTCCCAAAGTGCTGGGATTACAGGGGTAAGCCACTGCGCCTGGCCTGACCTGTTACTTATATTAACATTTCCTGTTTTCATAACCCCTTGCCTAGCCTCTGTTCCCCTATACAGAGGTGGGGAGGAAGTGTGTATGAATGTATATCTGAAGGGGAGAGTCTTTCTGATTTTCCTGTCTTCTTTCTTTTTTTATTTTCTTTTTTTTGAGACAGAGTCTTGCTCTGTCACCTAGGCTAGAGTGCAGTGGAGCGATTTCAGCTCACTGCAACCTGCACCTCCCAGGTTCAAGCAATTCTCCTGCCACAGCCTCCTGAGTAGCTGGGATTACAAGTGCCTGCCACCGTGCCTGGCTAATTTTTGTACTTTTAGTAGAGAAAGGGGTTTCACCATCTTGGCCAGGCTGGTCTCAAACCTCTGACCTCGTGATCCACCCGCCTCAGCCTCCCAAAGTACTGGGATTACAGGTGTAAGCCACTGTGCCTGGCTTCCCTGTCTTCTTTCTAGACTCACTCCACTTTAAAGAAACTGAAGACCCAAGGTCCTGCCCACTCCTCCCCATACCCTATTTTTTCAAAAATGAGACCCAGCACAGGGAGGGGCTTGCCCAATGTCACTCAACTGGTAGATTGGAAACTGACTGGCTCTGAGCTGAAGGCTTTTAGGAGGAAGGAGCACATCTTCCCCATCTCTAGAGGGAGGAGGACAGGCTGGGACTCTGATCAAGGATCTAAGACAGGTGTTTTCAAACTAGTTGTTGTTTAATTGCCAGACTGTCCAAAAGAAATATTGCAGATGAAAGAGGGGCATTCCTGATTGAAGTCCTGGCTTCCCCACCTAGCAGCCTTGGGGTTACCTCCTTAGGACCCTCAGGGCTCTTGTACATTCAGTTTGGAGGCCCCTGAGCTCTAAAGGTTTGAGCTGCCTCAAGGACACCAAGTCCTTGCTTCCAGGTGCCTCCAGTCCTAGTTTAGCTGGGACTCCAAGGATCCCAAAGCCAGTTGAAGGTCATGATTTCCACTCTAGGGGAGCTGACGGTCTCCTAAAAAGTCATAACAAAAAAACAACTCCTGCCTGGCTCTGTAGAGCCACAGAGGGTGGTATGTTCCAGAAAGAAAGAAAGAAAAAAAATGCAAGCAAGTGAGCTACCAAGCTCCCATAAGGATCCACTAGAGAGAAAGGGGATGAAGACAGAGAGTGTGGGAATATG